AACATAAGAAACCATTAAATGATGGTGATAATGAAGAACAACAAATTGATGTCTCTGTAGCTGGACCAATCTCTTACTTGATTTCCTTTGTTATTGCTTCTTTAGGTAAACTGAACATCAAACCAAAATTAAAGTGCATAAGTATCAGGAGTAATATTCAAAATTTGATTCCACTTACACAGTTGTTAATAATAATGACCACCTACTACAGTGCATTATTTGTTTGCAGATTTTAGCTAATGATAAAATGAAGCCAAGTAAACTTACAAGGCACTTGAAAATAAACACCCTGAGCATGTGAATAAAACTATCAAGTATTTCAAGTAACAAATGAAACAATTGAAAGGACAAAGCAGCTTGCTTGAAAAGCATGTCACAAAAGATTTGAAACTTTCTTTAGAAACATCTTATTTGACTTGGAAAAGATGAAGACACGAAATTAGTTCTTCCCACTGCCATAGATTTATGTGATATATATATAGATACATTTAGAGAGAGAAGTTTGGTAAGGTCTTGAAGGCTCTCCCTGTATCACATGACATTGTTGCGAGCCATATGGATGTAATTTCTGTTGATATATCAACGCAATTGACAACATGGATCCAGAACAGTCCGGAATTTGCCTACAACTTGAAGAAAACACAGATTTTACTAATTTAGCTTTGCTTCTTATATTTGTACAATACTGTTATGAAGAGGTAGTATGTGAAAATTTTCCGTTTTGCCAAGCAATGGAAGAGAGAGAGCCACAAGGAAAGCCATCTTCTCTCTCTTGATGGTGAGTTTTTCACCAAAAAATCTTTCTTAAATTAATTGTGTTATGTACTGATGGGGCAGATGCATTTATGGGAAACAAGAAAGTATTCAGAGTCAAAGTAAATGTTCTTGCTCTTGGTGTAACGTTTACACATTGCATCTTACAAAGGAAAGCACTAGCTTCAAAGGAAGTGTACCCTAAAACAAACACTGTGCTAAAAGATTCTGTGAGTGTTGTGAACTTTGTGAAATCAAGAACTTTGAACACCAGGCTATTTTTCATTCTTTGTGGAGGAATGGAATCCATGTATGACAAGCCCCTGCTGAATACAGAGGTCACTGGTCTTCTCATGGGAAGGTACTTAGTCCCATAGTGGAGATGGAAGATGGACTTTGTATTTTTTGTCAGACTGTTACCTCAAACTAACAGCACATTTTATGGACGAAAAGTGGCTTCTGGTACTATGCTACCTGGTTGATATTTTTGCTAAAGTCAATGATGTTAATTTGTTACTGCAAGGTCAGAATAGCAACAATCAAAACAAAACAGTAATCTCTGGGGATCTCTGAAGTGGTGTCAAAATTCCATGAAGAGTGGACTTCAGCTTATTCCAAGCTGGAGCCTATCCTTCACATTAGATCTGTAAGTTAATTGAAACTGTTTGCCTTATGTACCATTTAAAACTTGTTTTATCTTCATACAGGATATGGAGGCACAACAAAATGCATGTTTAGATTAACATAAAAATGTTTGTACAACGTTGATCTAATTGGGCATATGTTACCTGTGTCTATGTGATGCTGTGTGATTGTTGTTCAACCCAATTCGCCATCTGGTCACATAAATACATTGGCATGTCCTGTCAACAAATCACTGAGTTACTGCTGCATTTATCCTGTCCTCAACTGGCAATATGAAGTGTTTGCAACAATGTACTCGCTTCTTAACACTGTGAAACAGATGCAAACTAGGATTACTGCTATACGTGGTTTCTTCCACTCTATTCACTGTCCAAGTGACCATTCTGGTACAAAGCTGAATAATCAATCATCCATAGTTGCTGAACAACACCGTGGCTTCATTCCTCCTAGAACAAATAAATGTCCGAGTTAATGTTGCTTGTTTTCTGCACAGAAAACATATTACTATATATGTGGACTATAAGTGTGTTGCATGACACCAACATACTAGACTTTATCCTTGGTAAACCACAGAACCCCAATTCCACTTGCAATTTGTGTGTGTGTGTGTGTGACGGATTTAGTATTATATATATATATATTAATATCGGTATTTGTTTAAGTTCAATTTATATTTAGAAATGTACATAACTTATACTGTAAATCTGTATTGCGAAATTCCCGCCTATTCTCTCAAGTTGCAGAAGATTCTCGAGTGTAAGAATCAACAATATATGTATGTACGTAAATGCTAGTGTTAGCGTCAGTATTTTTACGTAAACGCACCCCAGTGACTGAGCGGTATGTCTGCGGACTTAAAATGCTAGAAACCGGGTTTCGATAC